CGATTACCTGAGAATACAAGTTATTTTGAAAACAATCAACATATATAATGTTGGTGAGTTCATAAGTATGGCTGAGTAAAAGTCTTTGTATCTTTCGTAAAAACCGTGAAAATCCAATATTTTCTGTAAAATGTTTGAAAATGATGTGAAAATGAAGTATAAATGCATGTGTGAATTTCGCAGTAGTGACATATATAAAAGTAGTTTAGATTTCTTTGTATTGTAAGTAAGTGATAATTGAACAATTGTATTTCCCCAGAAAATCCGATATTTTCTGATTTGTTATAATGTCGAGGTTCTTGTATCGTTTAATAAGTTGTTTTGTGTTAACACAATCGAAGGGTTAATCTTCGAAATGTTAAATTTGGTATTGAATCTCTATATGAGCCGTTATAATCATACATGATAATGACTAGGTTGCATGTCTTAACATTTTTCCAAATGTTGATATTTGATCAAGGTTTTGTCGTCCTAGACTGACCTAGTCTAGCTGTAGTGAGCAGCTAAGGCGAGGGGGGTCACCCCGTATAGATCTATACACAAACTCTCACTCTCCCTCTAGGAGACTCTGATTATAACTACAAGCTACGATTGTACACTCGAAGGTGCCAACCGACACGTCTCACTAGATTCTCAACCTTTCGTACTATGTTTAATGTTTTTACGTATATGTTGTATATTATCAATCCAAAGGTACATATATAAGTATATGGAGTTTAATAGTTATGTAAAGGTATAGTTATAATCTACCCAAGCATGTGAATTTCAGTCCAAGCCCAATTAGCATGTAAGTGGATCACAAAGGCCCAATAACATGTAAGTGGGTAATTTGGGCCCAATAGGCATGTAAATGGACTACGAAGGCCCAACAACATGAGACCCATAATTCAGGACCAAATTAACATGTAAATGAGTCGCATGGCCCAATAAACATGACATGGAAAATATTGGGCTAAATATACATTTAAATGGGCTCTTAAGGCCCATTGGCCATGTAACATGAATATTTGGCCCAATAAAATTGTTATCGATGTATTTCACCCATTTGTTATTGTGTTGTTGCTTATTTTTGTTCGAGGTTTACCAAGTTGATTATAAAAAGTCTCCTTTTTTGTAAAACAACATTTTTGGTCAAAAAGCCTCAAATTTTCAATTAAGGCCCAAAGTTTTGGTAAAAATGACACTTTAGTCCATAATGTATAAAAATTTGTAATTTTGTCCCAAATGTCTAGAAATTCACGGATTTAGTCCAAAAATATATATTTTGTCATTTGAGGCCCAGTTTTACAGAAAATGGCATTTTCAGCCCTTTGTTTGTCAAATTGACACTTTCGGCCCAATTTTTATAAAAGTTACATTTTTGGTCCAATTTAAAAATAAATGTTATTTTCACCCATAAATTTGGTTTATTTACATTTATGACTCAAACTTTGGTCAAATAACATTCTTAATCCCAAAACCTCCATTTTTCGCAATTTCGAGCCGAAAACCATGAGGCCCAAATATTTGGCCCATTAAGCCAAAATTTACATTTTTTGACCCTTTGGAAAGCATGTTTACCATAAAAATCCATTTTTATGCTAGAAGAACCTGTTTGATCCTTGTAAAAACATAAATGTCGCTTTTTGCCATCATCTTTTGTTTTCTTGACAATTTTGACCCTTAACAAGGTTTTTGTGTTAACTTTTATTTCTTAAACATGTAATCATTTTTGGCTTGATAGTATGAAGTATATAGTGTCTTAGTTCATGGATCTTTACTCCATGTCACTTAGAATATCGATATTTGTTTAGATCTAACACATTTTTACAAAATAAACTAAGAAATCACACAAGACATGCATATAACACATATATCTACACATTTTACTTCCATTCTCCCCCAAAAATCATGTAAAACCGAAAACAAGGGGGTATGAACTCACCTTTGCTTGATGTTTCGATTTTGAAGAAGAAATGGGGAGATTTTCGGTCCTAGCAAGCTTCTCGAAGAACTTTGGAACTTAGATGGCTCTAAGATGCATGATTCACGAAATGGTATGAGTTAGGAGGAGATCCTTGAGGAAATTTAGGAGTTAAACCATGTATCTAAGAAAAACTTATCAAGGATAGTGATTGTGGTGAAGAATCCTCTTGAAAAACACCCTAAATCTCGAAATTTTAAGGGAAGAAGGAGGAGTTTCTAGAGAGTATTTTGAAGTGGCTTGAAATGAGAGAATAGAGGTGGGGTGATGGTGTCTCGGCCGAAGATAAGAAGGGAGGGGGAGAGAGGATGTGATGGTTACCTAGATGCATGAGATGTATGGATTATTTAGTGGGTAAATTGCATGGAAGTCCATTATGCAATAATGATGTGTCTAATGCTAGTTAATCCTCTTTTTTTTTTACATGGGCCGAGATTTGGGCTAGGAGGAAGGAGGATGAATTAGTTTGGCCCAATTCTTTCCTTGGTTCGAAATTATGAAGCCCATAGGGAAGTTTTCGGCCCATTGGGCCTTTAGGGTTGTTCACGGCCCAAATGGCATAAAAAGTGGGTTTTAGGGCTTACTAGGTTTAATTGGATTAAGTATAGCCCAATAAGGCCCATTAGGGTTCGAATGATTCATTCTAGGCCCAAATGGTCCAAAATGTTATAGATTTGGGAATTGGGTCCATTTAGAATCCAAATAGGGTTTCCAAGCCCAAAATAGTTGAATTGAATACTTATTGGTCCATTAGGCCCAACAAGGAAATCCTAGTCCAATATAGACTTAAACCGGGATTCTTAGGGTTTTCAGACTCTTTGTTGAACATGAAAGGTGAATTTAAATGAGCATCGGTGATATTTACTTAGAGTATATGTTTTACAATAGTTGAATGACTACACGAGAATAAATTCCCTATCTAAAATGCTAGTTGTGACAAATAATAACAATTTCTCCAATAGGGGTATGGAATGACGATGAAATTTTCTAACAGGACTTTCATCAAATAGCTTATATGTATAAAAAAAGGAAAATATTTAGATGCATGTAGTGTTAATTTTCTATATACTTGGTCAACCAAAGTGTATATGTGAAAATTATGAGAATCAGATTAAGTAGTGGAGTTGCTTCTATTCCTTTGATTTGTAGGAGTATCTTTAAAGTACAACATTTTCAAACATTGACACTTTGCTCCCGAGTTTGAAAGAAAGGGAAAGAAAGTATATATTTTAGCCGTTCCCAAGTTAAATGAAAAAAAAAGATAGTTAAAAAAGACAATTATACCCTGCATGTTATTGAGGAAACATTAGGTGTTTACTTTTATTCATGATGGAAACGTGATGCTAGAATTCATATCCATGGTTTTAGAAACTATATACTTTTCACTTCTTCATGGACCTAATACTATATTTCATACCATACAACTTAATTATGTGATGAAGTAGATGGACATCAAGCTGAAACACATAAAAGAATGCCTATAATTTTCTTGCACCAGAAATCCAGATGCTAAAATTTATAACTAAAACGGATTAACAAATTCATTCAACATCTAAAAGAAGTATGTATGTAGTAAAATAGTATACGATTCATTGCATATACTAAAACCCTACTTTTTTAAACATCTGAATTCTTCCTGAAAAGGATTTTAAGATACAAACTGTCATCTCAAAAGATTTATTTGTTACGAGACACATGATTCAAAAGACACATCAACTTGAACGAAACCATCTCATCATCCCTCATTTAAACCCATGCTATAAAAGTAAAAAAAAAACAAAAAAAAAACATATTAAATAACTTATTAATGCGTATAGAAACATAATAAAAGGTTAATTTTGTTTGACATAACTAAATACAGTAAAAGTCATCTAAATCCATTCATGCAATATATGATCACAATTAAAACAGAAAACAAAACACAACTGACTAATAGATAAACATAAGACTTCTTATAAATCTATGACCTATCTATCAAGAAGAAAAAAAGCAAAAAAATGAAAGGAGCTATCAGATTGTGTACTTATACTTAATACATAACAATCATTTATATACTGAAATGTAAAAGTAGAGAGCAATTGAGTGAAAACAGAAATAGTTAAACACTTAATAGAATAATTATATGCTCACAAGTTAAAACTGTTGGATTAAGTGTTTAAGGTCCTAACTAAATTGGTATAATGTTAATGAACAAAGCTAAAGTCTTTTTACGGCTTCGATTGATCAAAGCAGGGAGAGAGAGAGAGAGAGAGAGAGAGAAAGAGAGAGAGAGAGAGATAAAATGTTTTATGTAATTAATATATTAATTAGAAATTAGTAATTAATGATTTTTTAATTTATTATATGAATAATAAATTAATTAGAAATGGGTAATAACTGATTTATCTCTAAATATTATTAAAAGAGAAACTTAAATTCTAATCTTAAGAAATCAGGACCATTCATTACATTTGAATCCTTAATTTTTCGCCCTCAGATTGATCCTTAATTTTTCGACCTTAGATTGATTGCTGACATTATCCAAGGTTATTCAATCACCGTTACATGATTATCTCTTCTTTCCTTCGTCATCTACCCTCTCTCTCTCAATTGTAACCTAAAGAAACATAAAAATCATTCCTTTTTACTTCAATCGTGCCAGAAAACATATCCCTAATTCGCATCGCCTCTTCAAACGCCTCCAGGAATACGGTTAGTTTGTCTTGATTTTACTCCCAAATTCAAAATTTCTTATATTCCAATAGTGCATTTGTGTAATCGATTCCTGTTTTTCATTATTTTGTTTTTCCTTTTTTTTTTCTTTTGACATATCATTTTTAATATCAATTTCATTGTTAGAATTCTTCATCCGATAGGGTTTCTGTTTTTAAAATCAAAAGGAAGAGACCCTATCATAGATTCCATTCGATATCCTTATTCCTTACTACCAAGCTGTTTTTAAGCTGTTTTTAATTTGTAACTAAAATTGATTAGTAGCTGAGAATTAGGATCTCTGGTAATTTGTATGATCCACAATTATCGATCAATTTTGTGATTTATGGCTTTAGTCCAGTCCTCTGCTCTTTGCTTTAGTGCTATTCCTTCAGAATTTCGACCGTCTTCTTGGTGGAATCAGTTGTCAAGTTCATTAGATTCAAGATCGTGTACTTCTATGAAAGCCTACAGCTTAACATCAACGCCATCAACTCCTCCATCGTTCCGATTTTCTTCTTCATCTTATGAACATTCAGGTGCTGTTGATCTTACACAACTAAGCCGATTGCCTTTTCATATTACTGAATTTTTTTTAGGATTGTTCTTTTCTTTATATAATCTCAAAACACTTCTATTGCTTTTCATTTGATGGTAACAGGTTGGACAGTTATATGTTGAACATAATCTGTCATCATGTTATAAATTCATAGAACAATCATGCTCGCTCATTTGAAATTATCTCTCAACCATGGCTAAATAGAGGTAAAAAATTTACTTTTTTAGACCTTCAAAGTTTCATTTGATATTTTAATTTAAATCAATTCTCAATCACCTGTAGGGAATGCCCTGAGGAATGCCACGAAGCTATCTCCACTTTGATGTTTTCTACAACAAGCTTTCCTGATCTGCCAGAAATACGCGAACTAAGAAGTTTATTTGCTGACAGATATGGAAATCATCTTGAACCTTATATCAACAAAGAGGTGCTTCTAAATCTGCCTTGTCAAAATCTATAATAAACATTCTTTTAGTAGCTTTTAATCAAGAAAAAACTAAACAGGAAACAATCATGTTCTTAGTTTGTCAAGAAATTGAAGGCAAACCCTCCCACTAATGATATGAAGCTTCAAATGATGCAAGAGATTGCACAGGAATGTGGTATAGAGTGGGATTACAAGGCTTTTGAACAGAAATTGAAAAAAACAACATCCATTTGAACAGGTAAACCATCTTCTCATTCTCTTTCAACTGTTAGCATCTCTAAATATTATTAAAAGAAAAACTTAAATTCTAATATTAAGAGATTGAATATTTTACCCATTTAATTTTCTTTTTACCACAGGTAGCTGTTAATGTCAAAGACTAAAACAGATGCGGTAATTTTCTATTTTATCTTTCTAATCAACATATTAAATATTCATCGTACATCATACATCATACAATGCATATATTTAATTATATAATGATGATAACCCTGTTTTGCTTTAATTATTTATATTCATATTAAATAATATCTTGATTCAATTATTATATTTAACTATCGACTTTTTTTTATATTTAATTAATTAAAATTGGCTTATTTAATTTTTTAACTGTCTTGAGGATTCATTAATAAATTTATTTATACTCTTCTTCTCATAGACATTGCAGGTTATGCATATTTGATATTTGATCTAAGCTTATAAAATTTTTGAATTCTAAAAAAATAATTATATTTTTAGGTGTGATATGGAGGAAAAGAAGGATGAAGAAGAAAGCACATTGAATGAAGGTGAAACTGAGATTGCTATAGGACATGCAAGAAGGTTGATTCAAAGTGGTGTACATGCTTCTGATATTAACTCAGCACAGGTAAAGTAGAATTCCGTTTTGGTGTAATGGAATTAAGGAATGGAATGGAATCGTTGATTCCATTGAAATGAAATTAACTTTGTAGGTTGTGTTGCTAAGAGTGTTGAGAACAAAGGATGTCAAGTTAAAAGAATTGGAAATCTCAACTCTGGATGGCTTCCAAGGGAGGGAAAAAGAAGCGATTATTATTATTTCAATGGCCAAGTTAAATTCAAAGAAATAGGTATTTTTATTATTATTATTTTTTTTTAATTTTTGTGGCGTTTTATAATTGATTTAAAATTCAATGAAAATGTTGACATTGGTTTTAAAAATGAATTAACTCTTCTGTTTTTTTAAAAATACCAAAATACATTTATCATCTATTTTTAAATAAAAAAAATTTCAAACATTATTTTTTTTGACAGTTTTTGCTAGGTTCAAATTTCAATTATTTTGACAGATCCAATTCCTTAAAAAACATTCTATAAACCAAATGCTACATAATAGTTTATCAATAAAAATTAGAGAAATTAAAATTCCTCATACTTTTAAATCCTACCCATCTTCCTACCACTTTTAGATGATGACAACTGTAATAAAAGTTTATTAATTTTATTAAATTTTTATTAATTTGTTTTATATTTTTGTATTTATTGAAATCTTATATGTTTATTATATTTTTTCTTATCCGACTTTTTTTCAAATTTATTGATATCTTATATGGTAATTATTAGCTTAAATTATGTATGATTTTATCTATTTTTGTAATTATATTTAAAAAAAACGTTAAACTTCCTTTTATTCAGAAATCTTGAAGTTAATTTATGTTTTTTTTTTCCAGGAAAGTAAGGTAAAGTGGAGATGGAGGTACCACAGGCGGAGGTGCTTCTGGTGGCAGCATCAACCTCAAGGCTTATGACTAGAGGAGTTAACTTGGTAAAACGTGAATTGTATATTATTCCTTAGAATGTCACGATTTGAAGAGAACACCGTTAGAGGAGTATATAAAAAGTGAAGGATCCGTTTTAGATCCACGAAAACCAAGAGCATGAAGTGCAGTCGACAACCGATGAAACCATGCTCGGGGAGCTTGCTTAAGTCCATAGAGAGACTTGTGGAGAAGACAAACATGATCAGGTTTGTCCGGATCAACAAAACCCAGTGGTTGCTGCAAGTAGACTGTCTCTGTGAGATCGCCATGTAAGAAGGCATTTTGAACATCAAGTTGTCGTAAGGACCAACTGTGTGAGACTGCCAAGGATAGAACCACCCGAATTGTAGTCGCTTTGACAACGGGACTAAAAATCTCATGATAATCAAGACCATGTTGCTGACGATAACGTTTTGCAACAAGACGCGCTTTGTAACGTGTAATTGCCCCAGTCGGATCCCGTTTGAGCTTATAGACCCATTTACAACCAACAACATTAGCATTCGATGGAGGAGGCACTAAGGACCAAGTGTTGTTGCGCTGAAGAGCAGAATACTCGTCGGCCATGGCCTGACGCCATTGAGGCGATTTGTTAGCAACGTTAAAGGTGGCTGGTTCGGTAGGAACATTAGTAGTATGATAGGAGGCAGGATTATATGGTTGAGAGGGTTTAGGATTTGGACGCAAATGAGAGGGACGAGGACGAGGTAGAGAGGAGGAAGTGTGGGGTTGGGAGGTAGAATTTGCTTGTTGAGATGTGGTGTTTTCTGGTTGAGAGGTGGTGTTAGTTTTAGGGCGTCGTGCAAAGGTATAAAGGAGAGGCGGAAGAGGAGGTTCGTGTGGAGATGTAGGGGAAGAAGATGATGCAGGAGATGATGTAGGAGGCGTAGGGTATGTATTGGAAGGAGATGGTGTAGGTGATGTAGGAGGTGTTAGGGATGTATTGGAAGGAGTGGATATGTCAGGTACAGGATTAGGATAAGAGGATGTATAAGGATCAAAGGAAGATGTGGGTGGAGATGGGGGGCTGATTTGGTAAGGGAATAATTGTTCATGAAAACGAACATGACGAGCGATATAAAGACGTTCGGAAAGAGGGTCAAAGCACCGATAACCATGGTGGGAGGTGCTATATCCAAGAAAAACGCACGGAAGAGATCTGAAATCCATTTTATGCTTGTTATACGGACGAAGATGTGGATAACATCGACAACCAAACACACGAAGAAAGGAAAAATCAGGTTTGTGTTTGAAAACATGTTCGAAAGGTGAGATATTGGAGTTGGTTCTAGAAGGCATACGATTTATGAGATAGACGGCTGTGTTAAAAGCATAATGCCAAAATCGTTGTGGAACACCGGATTGAGCAAGAAGAGTGAGGCCGGTTTCGACCACATGACGGTGACGACGCTCAACAACGCCATTCTGTTCGCTGGTGTGAGGACAAGACAAGCGATGAGTAATGCCGAGAGATGAGAAAAACTTAGAGAGGTTTCGAAATTCACCTCCCCAATCAATTTGAACAAATTTTAGTTTGGTTTGAAATTGTCGTTCTACTGTAAGAAGAAACTGTTGGAAAGTACTAAAGACATCAGATTTGGATTTTAAGGGAAAAATCCACATAAAACTAGAAAAATGATCAACACATAGTAAGAAGTATCGATGGTCTTCAAAAGAAGTAACAGGGGCTGGTCCCCAAACATCACAAAAGAGTAAATCTAAAATATGAGAACTTTTATAAGTAGAAGATGATAGATGAAGTTTTGAAGATTTTCCAATAGAACAAGAATCACAAGGTGAATTGACAAAATTTTTTGATAAAGGTAAACTATATCTAGAAATCATTGACTTCAACAGCTGCGGATGGGGATGTCCAAGTCGTTGATGCCAAGTGACGGAAGAAGCACGGGTAGCGGAGAAAGCAACTTTAGACGAGGTAGACTGCAACTGCGGAAGGTGGAAGGAGTAAAGGCCGCCACTACTTTGACCCGTGAGGAGGGTAGTGTGAGTATTCTCGTCCTTCACAGCAAAAAAGGAAGTGTGAAATTCAAAATAAACATTATTATCATCGTAGAATTTTTGAACAGAAAGAAGGTTTTGTTTGATTTCTGGAACATGAAGAATTTGTGAGAGATGAAAAGTTTTATTAGGAAAATAGAGTTTAGAGGAGCCAATATGGAGAATGGGTAAACCTTTACCGTTGCCAACATGTAAGTTGTCATGGCCATGGTATGCCTCGGAGTGATCAAAGCTCGAGAGATCGGATGCAACATGATGACTAGACCCAGTATCAGTGACCCAGGTAGAGGAGGCCCAGGATCGATAATCTGCAAAATTAGCGGATGGTTGTTGTTGTCTCACACGTATGGTGGAGGGATCTCGATTAGGGCATTGAGACGGAACATGCCCAATACCACACCTGTTACATGTACCATACACAGTATTTTGATTAGATGCCCAACTAAATTGGTTTCTATTACCTCCTCCTTGTGGACGATTGTTGTAGCTGCCACGCCCACGGTTGTTTGTTGATCGGCTGTTGCGATTGTTTCCTGATCAATTTGTGTAAAAAGCTTGGGCTAATGTTGAATTAGTTGGCTGGAGCTGTAACCCCAGCTGTTGTGCAAGCTTTTGAACAGCTTGGATTGCTTCATCTTGTGATAGAGACGAACCAGCAGCCATGGAACTGGGCTGTCTAGTGGTGGTTGTGAACGCTTGGGCTGGGGGCACCACTGTGGAGGTCTTTGTGATCATGTAGTCATGGTCGGACAGTAGACCATGAAGTTCAGCAAAGGCTGTTGGAGACTGTCTTGCTAAAAGGGTAGATTTCAAGCCATTGTATTCTTCTCTTAAGCCAGAAATAACCAACATGACAAGGTCCTTTTCTTTAACTGGTTCGCCAATATTAGCAAGAGCATTAGAATACTCTTGTGCACGGGTTAAGTAAGCAGATGAGGACTCATCTTCTTTCATTGTGATTTTCAGAAGTTGGGTTTTAAGAGTATATTCATGAGAAGAAGTATGAGGAGCATAAGCACTTTCTAAAGACAACCAAAGATCACGTGATGTATCACCTTGAACATGCTGAAAAGACGTCTCGGAGATGGTGGACAGAATAAGCATTCGAACATGTGCATCATTAGAGACCCATGTATTGTTACAAGGGTTAGTGATAGATGTGGATGTGGTCACGGTGTCGCCTTCTTTTCCTGTAGGGGTGGTGGACACGATGGTGGCTGGTGGGCACTGTATGGTGCCATCAACATACCCGAACATGTTGTTTGTAACCAGAAAGGGCTGTAACATAGTTTTCCAGTAGCCATAGTTGTTTGGGGACAAAGTAAAGGCAAATTTATGAGAGTTGTGGGCTGTTTTCTCGGCAGTAGTGAATGCTGTGAGAGGCGCCATTGTATTGGCTGATGTCAATGTGTACTGATCGACAAGAGAAAAGAG